ATTATGAATTAAACATTTAATTATGACTTTTAGCTATCTTTTACTAATATTTAAAGGAGGAGTAAGAATGGAAGGAAGAAATGAGTATGTTTCCAATAGGACCACTATGGTCCTATTTTTGAATAAAAAACATAGCAAGTCCTATTTTGAGTTTTTGCCATAGTTTTAGTCCTATTTGATGTAATTTCTAATAAGATATCTATAGACTTGCTCGTCTTCGTGAAAGCATGACTCAAGATATCGAAAAAGTTAAGTGTGTGAAGGATGTCGATCAAAGGATATTAATGGAGGACGGAGAGATAAAAGAGAGGTGGAGGTCATACTTTGATACATTGTTCAACGGGAACAAAGTGCAAGATATTGGTGATTTGACCATACCAGATTGTATGGTAAATCGTGATTTTGTGTGAAGGATCCAAACAACGGAAGTTAAAGAGGTTTTGAGGAAGATGGGGCGGAAGAAAGCAATGGGTCCGGATGGCATACCGATCGAGGCTTGGAGAAGTTTGGGGGAGAGAGGCATCGAATGGTCAACAAATTTCTTCAACAAGATTTGGAGAAACAACAAGATGCCAACGAGTTGGAGAAAGAGTACTCTTATTCCCTTATTTAAGAATAAAGGTGATGTACAAGAATGTGCCAACTATCGAGAGATTAAGCTTATGACTCATACCATGAAACTTTGGGAGCGAGTGATTGAGCAAAGACTTTGAAGAACGGTGAAGATTCCAGAGAATCAATTCGGTTTTATGCTTGGTCGCTCAACAACTGAGGCTATTCGCCTTCTTTGGCAACTTATGGAGAAGTATAGAGACGCTCACAAGGATTTGCATTTGGTGTTCATTGATTTAGAAAAGGCATATGATAGGGTACCTTGAGAAGTTCTTAGGTGGGCCTAAACTAGAAAAGGCATATCATGCAAGTATATCAGCATCATCATGGATATGTATGAGGATTGTACTACAAGTGTCTGTACTAGTGTAGAGAGGACTGCGGAATTCCCTATTACTATCGGAGTGATCCAATGATCGGCTCAGAGCCCTTTCTTATTTGTCATAGTCATGGATGAACTTACAAGTCAATTCAAGATGATATACCATGGTGCATGATGTTTGTCGACGATATTGTATTGATTGATGAGACGCAATCAGGGGTTAAAGCAAAATTGGAAGTATGGCGAAAAACATTGGAGAACAAGGGTTTTAGACTAAGTCGGAGCAAGACAGAGTACATGGAGGGCAAGTTTGGTGGAGGTAGAAGCAGTGGTAATAGTGGAATTACTCTAGATGGTAAGGAGATACCGGTCAGCGATATGTTCCGCTACTTGGGCTCCATAATCAGAAGAACGGTGAGTTAGATGGAGATATATCCCAAAGAATCAGAACAGGGTGGATGAAGTGGAAGAGTGTGTCAGGATTTCTATGCAATCGAGGTATGCCGACTAGACTAAATGGTAAATTTTATAGGACATCAATTAGGTCTGCATTCCTGTATGGCACGGAGTGTTGGGCGATGAAACAATGGCACATTCAAAAGATGAGTGTGGCAGAGGTGTACATGTTGCGTTGGATATGTGGGCGTACTAGAAAGGAACGCGTGAGGAATGAGACAATGAGACAAAGGGAGGGAGTAACACCTAATGAAGATAAGATACAGGAGTCGCGCCTACGGTGGTTTGGTCTACGGTGGTTTGGTCATGTGCATAGAAGACCGAGTGATGCACCTGTCAGACGAGTTGAGATGTGTGGAGAAGAGACGGGAAAGAGAGGGAGAGGAAGGCCCAAACAGACGTGAGTTAGAGGAGTCAGAAATGATATGCTTCCTCTTGAATTGGATTATGGTATGGCATTGGAGAGAGCAAAGTGGAGAGCGGGTATTCGTGTGAAGGAGTGATCTTGTACCATCTTTTCCCCTCTCTTTTCTTATTTCTTATCCTTTTATCCTTATATATAAATATTATTTTTATCCTTTTTTACTTTATCTTTTATATGTATATTCATCTCTTTTATATTACTGCTTCCGTCCTCCTAAGTTTGGGACAAAGGGGTGTGGTGTGGGTTTTAAGAAAAAGTAGAATTGTGTGGTTGATATTGAATTGATAAAGTGTGAATAAAGTAAGAATGAATTGTAACCACCCAAATATTACCAAATATGGACTTTTTTGATAGGAAATGGATCTTGACCGGCCATCCTCCTCCATTCATTTTCTTTTTTTATTCTAATTTTGAAATTAGGATTAAAAAATAGAAATTGTGGGCATTAAATATGAGCAATGAATATGGGCAGTGAGCATAATAATAGATATTGCTGACTATGGTGATTGAATTTAGGGTTTGTGGGCATTGAAAATTGGCAGTGAACATGATAGGAGTAATAATTATGGTAGTGAATATGATAATATATGTGTTGTACATGACAGTGAATGAATGCATTAAGAAATTTTGTTGTGCATTGAATATGCCCAATAGTGCATTAATGCCGCCATGAAACGCGATATACTCAATTACATGTAAAATAATAAAATTATTTAATCTGAAAAAATAAAAAACAAAAACCATAAATAATTTCATAAAGTGGATGAGAAGAGAATTAATTTTGACGGAAGTGAAGTGATAATTATCGGATGTGTAGTAATGTTGTGCAGTAATGTCGTGCAGTAATGTTGTGCAGTAATGTCGTGCAGTAATAACAATATAAAGTGCAGTAATTTTAATTGGACGAAATTAGTGCAAATGCACATATTTTAAATAAGGGTATTTTCGTCATTCAACATTTAAATATAAACGAATTTTCTATTTGTTTTTGGATTTTTGGTCATGCAAAAGTATAAAAACTAGTTAGGTCATATATTGAGAAACTCATTGAGTTTTAGTTATATCCCGGTAAATTTCCCTAATAACTATTGATGATTTGTTTTGCATGTTTTCTCTATACTAATATAAGTCAGGAATACATATTTCGCGGCAGGCCTCTTTACCTGAAAAGTGTCAGTTCTATGAGAGAGACAGTTTATGTCTCCCATGAAACGAGAAACCATGAATAATCTATTCATTCCCTCATATTGACTATTTATCTAATATTATCTAGGGCCTGGTTTTAATCAACTCTTTAGAGGGTGGAGGGTGAGCCCTCCCATTTCTAGGTTCTTGTTATTTGTCATGATGATCTTTTTTGCAATTGTCATAGTTTTTAAATAGTCTAATATCTATTTAGAAATATACCTAATATCTATTTAGGAATACTTTGTATTTTGGCAACTCTTCTATTATAAATACATCTGTCAGGACTCCTATTGGAGTATCATTTCCCATTATTTCACATGGTATCAAGAGCTCTAGGTTTTAAAACACATTTTTTTCTTCCTTTTTTCGGTTCCCATGAATCCTAGTATAGCTGCTGCCACCTCGGGGTCGACTGCCGCCACATCTACGGCAGTCTCCGATCCTATGAGCGCGGCTGATACGGCGTAGACCACCTTCTTCGTGTCGCTGACCAAGGTGCTTGCCTTCAGTGTGCTATTGCATTCGCCGCCCGCTACTACATACGTTCATTCTCTAGCCGAGTCCAGTTCAGCTGCTGGCACAGTTGTTCTAGACCGCTACGTCATTGCCTCTCTCTCCGGCTACCCTAGCATGATCCCATCGTCTTTTGCCGGGCCAGTTGGCCGTCAGCTAGGATCTTTTCCGCTGCCCACTTCATTCGCTGCTCTTGCTCAAGGTATCTTCAAGGATCCCAAATTATGAACAATATTTACTGTATTTCTTGGTCCTAATCTGATTTTTTGGAAGTCCTAGAAACAACCTACTTGCTATCTTATTGTTAAATATGTGCCTCATAATCTTCCGATGACAGATATATTTACTAAGAGTCTTTCTAGTCTGTAATTTCGTTTTTTTTAAAAGACAACATGTGCGTTGTATTCCCCGCACAGTTTGAGGGGTGTAATAGTCTAATACGGAGTATCTATTTAAGAATATGTGTAATATCTAATTAGGAATACTTTGTATTTTGACAACTCTTCTATTATAAATATATACGTCATGACTCTTATTGGAGTATCTTTTCCCATTATTTCACATTTTTTCATTTTGATCCAAGTTTAACTTTTTAAAAATATATTAAATTTATTATTATTATTATTACTATTTCAATAATGCTATACGGAGTTTTAGTCATTACTTATAATAAGCCACTATAACCGGACGAATTATTTGATCTTCTATTCACTCAAAGACCCCTTGTTCTCCACCACTAATGGATGAAATAGTGTCATTGACAAAAGTGTCAAGGGTAGTTGTGTCAACGTAATAAGATTGCTTATAAGTATTGATATTTTGCATTGGGTTTGTCCATAAGATTAAGGACAAAAATTACACCCGCACTTAGACAGAGCTCTAAGAAAATTGTTTTTTTTTGTTTGGCTGTGGTTTAATTTTTGTAAAACTTTAATTCCAGAGTTCATGTTCTTTTTTTTAAATTTATAATTATATTCTACTCACGGATCGAGCAAATTTCTAATTAAATCCACAAAATTTTCCCTACAAGTATATATTTTAATTTATCAAAAGTGCACATTGATAATGTTTTTTATTGGATTGTGATGTTTTAACCTTCTATCTATCTACAAGTATTTGACTTAGTGCCAGACTTAAAAATAAGTTCAATTAAAAACATTCAAAAATATTGTTAATTGATAGAAATTGCTACTTTTACTTATAAAATATGAAAAAAAAAACATAAAATTCCCACAACTAATAACTATTGCGTGTTTTTACTCCTGTTTAAGGAATTTTATCTTTATAAAATTTGGATTTATGACCTATCAAGTAAATAACAAGGACCGGTTGGTAATAAAGTAAAACCTCAGGGAGGTAAATGCAATAGTCTCTATTTAAAAAGAGAAAAGAGATTCAGCAATAAAAGTTAAAACCAGTTACTCAGCGGAGTTAGCTGTAACTTGTAAGTATCTGAGAAATAGAAGAGGTAGCAGCTATACTTACAGCGGAGTTGAGAGTGGAGTCAAGAAAGCGCGTGGAGATGAACGCGCCGACGCAGAGAAGCGTGAGAAAGAAGACGGCGAGGGAAGAGCGGGCCTGCAGGGTGATAGCCGCCAGCAACGGTCTCAGGATCGTGTCCGTGAAATGTCTGTAAGGCCCTCCCATTCCGTATGCCATCTCGCCGCTGTCTCTCATTTTCGACATCAGTGCGGCGGTGCGTACCATATAGACGCCGCCGAGGGAGAGAGAAAGAGAGAGAGAGAGTTGGTTGTAGGGGTCTGACTTATGTATGTCACGCACCTACCCAGAGAAATTTTGGTGATGACGACTAACCTTTTTCACTTCAATTGTTATGATCAACGGATTCTAATTAGGCGTAGAGAAGGAGGCATGAAGTAATTAGGAAGAGGGGGTGAAAGATGGGAAATCCATCAAATCGAGTACTCTTTATACATCTATTCCGTTTATCGCAAAACTGGGCGGTTGATGCAAGTAATTATAGACGTATAGTTTACTGATGCTTATAAGAGGAGAGAATTCCCTAAATAGGAGTAAAAAAGTTTTGAAATTCCAAAATAGGAGTATCATGTTTTTATTCCCTAAATAGGAGTAAATTTCTGCCAAGTTTGGAAATTACAAGGCTTTAAACATGACATTTTTTTCCAAACTTGGCAGATTACTCCTATTTAGGGAATAAAAAACATGATACTCCTATTTTGGAATTTCAAAACGTTTTTACTCCTATTTAGGGTAATTTCTGTTATAAGAGTGGGCGATACGTGTCAAATCTCTATATACTACGTATATAAAAACTCACCCGTGAGGTAAAACCCGACACCTATAGAATTGATGTCACAAATGTGTCATGCATGTCGTCATTAAGGAAAATTTTAAAAAGCAAGTCGTGTGCTCCTTATTGAGCACGTAGTACGCGACGGCTGACGCCTTGCAGGAAAATACTCCGTATTAGAAGGCTTAATATTTGTAAGTTAAAGTATATTAGTAATCATTAGTTGGCAAGCTATATGCCACTTAGAACTTAATAGTTTTCAAATTTCAATCTTAGAACAAATAATATGAACTTAGACAAGATTTTTCTAAATCCATGTATGCATCACAATATAAATTTTTTATCATGTTTTCTTTCTGAAATTAAATAATTAATCTGATTAATTCCTAATCTTATACTCCCCTATTTCATAAAACTTTGTTATGTTGATAAATGGTTTTTTTAGTTCCAAAATATTTAAAGTATGAAAATTATATGAAGTTATTCTTTGTTTTTTTGGCAAATGGAATTATTTCTTTCTTTTGAACAAAAAAGAGAGGCTTTTATATTAAAATAGAGAAATTATTTTCTTTTAAAAAACTTGTATAAAAATATAAGTGTTAATTTCCCACAAATATAAAACATATCCCATATGTAATTTTTATCTTAATATACAAATAACTTTTCTCATATGTGTGGTTAAAGTCAAAGTATATATCTCTTAAAACATACTCCCTTCGTCCCGCTAGAAGGTTCCCCATATGGTTTACGATGCTTGACCGACGATAAAGCAAGTTAATCCATGTTCACACTCTAATTATTTTAGTAAATAAAATTTACATATTCAGAAACAACATTAAAACCGCTACAAAGCCTGATAAATGTTGGTGTAATATACTTCATACATTCTTTTTTAATAGCAATGGTCCACTTTTCACGCTTGCCAATTAACATACAAGTTTGACCATTAATATCTTTCATTCCTTATTAGTAAAAAAATTAAAAATAAAAACAGATTTTGAAAATTTAAAAGGAGAGGAATTTAAAAATATTTTTTAAAAATTTAATTCATAATACATTAATTAATAAAATATAGTCAAAGTAGAATATGTGAATGGTGCAAAAAGTCCAATGTTGCAAGTAAAAGAGAACGCAGATAATACTATTTTAAGCAAGTAATTTTTTTATTGTCCCTATATATTTGTTGGTTTCATTTTAATCAATTAATTTACGGTTCCTATTATTTCTTTCTCCTATTCACAAATGTCAATTATACAGTTTTTACATAATTATTTCCCATGCCGGTCAACTTGGAAAAATTTTAATAGACGGAGGGCGTAATTTTGAAAGACTTCGAATCTTTTAAATACGTCAACTTTGGTTGTAATTTTAGCGCAAATAACATTTGAGTACCGTTTAGAATACATCGGTCCTTATTTTTTTCTAACCATGTCGCCGTCATGGTTTTCATTAAATCAGAATGTCACAAAACTATATATTCTAAACCCCTTTCGTAAAGAAAGAGATCAAACGACTAATTTGAAAATTTCTAAAACCTAAAAGGGATAATATCTATAAAAAGTTGACTACATCCATTTTTAGATAAATAAATTACAAAAATGTGTAGTTAGTTTTGAGAAAAAAACATAAACCACAGATGAAATTTTATGGATAAAATAGGCATAAAACATTTTCTTTTTGTTTAGGTAAAAATAGATCATTTCAATTGGATACAACTGGATGTTATAAAAAATATGTTCTTTTGTTTTGGAAAATATAGAATGGAACATATTTAGATAAATAGTTCAAAAATAAAACATACTCAATAAGTTAGAATATGCATTTCAAATAATGTTATAATCAACTAATTAAATAAGTGATTTTCCGTTAGTTAAACTAAACAACAAAATCATTTTATCCCGCGCACGGCATGGGTAAGGATACTAGTATTAGGTAATTATAATGTGTCAGTAAATGATTGTCTATAAATGATTACCAACAAATTTTCACTATGTTTATACGAGAAATTTTAAAGAGCATGTCACGTGCTCCTTATTGAGCACGTAGTACGGCTGACGCCTCGCCAGGAAAATACTCTGTAGTAGTAATAGGCTTAATATTTGTAAGTTAAAGTATATTAGTAATCATTAGTTAGCAAGCTATACGCCACTTAGAACTTAAGAGTTTTCAAATTTCAATCTTAGAACAAATAATATGAACTTAGACAAGATTTTTCTAAATCCATGTATGCATCTCAATATAAATTTTTTATCAGTGTTTTCTTTCTGACATTAAATAATTAATCTGATTAATTCCTAATCTTATACTCCCCTATTTCATAAAACTTGGGTATGATGACAAATTATTTTTAGTACCAAAATATTTAAAGTCTGAAAATTATATGGAGCTATTCTTTTATTTTTTGGCAAATGGATTTTTTTTAAAACAACTTTTATAAAAGTATAAAAATGTTAATTTCCCACAAATATAATAGGGGCTGAAGTTTTCTATCCGGTAAGGTCGTTGACCAAATGAAATGAGACCTAAACAAATTAAACGAGATCAGATCATTGTGGATCGTTGCGCTTACCGCTACACTAAAAGCAATCGCTGATAGTGTAGCACGCCCTTCCCCCTTTTATAGAACAGGCAAAGCGCCACGCGGTCCGATTGCACCGGCAGGCTGGCAGATTGCTGACCGCAGACCCGCGGCAGGCCCAACAATCTCCCCCCCAGCACCTGCCAGCCTACAACTGAGCAGCATGCTGTTGCCGGGGGTCGAACCCGTGACCTTTGGCTCTGATACCAATTGTGGATCGTTGCGCTTACCGCTACACTAAAAGAAATCGCTGATAGTGTAGCACGCCCTTCCCCCTTTTATAGAACAGGCAAAGCGCCACGCGGTCCGATTGCACCGGCAGGCTGGCAGATTGCTGACCGCAGACCCGCGGCAGGCCCAACAATCATAAAATTTCAATCATATTAAAAACATACCAAGTCATGTGATAAGAATATGAAAACTTTGAGGATGTTTATAACTGGTTTGAAAATTTTCAGATCTGATCTAGTCAATCTGATTTGTTTAAGTCTAAAATTTTGTAGTCTGTATGACCTAAACTAGACAGTATGTCTTTGTTCTATATGTATTTTACATCCGTCAAAATATGACCCGGTCTGATCTGATCTGTTTAAATTTGGTCTAATCTAATTTACGAGAACCAATCCAATTAAAAATACCCTTACTCTACTAGGGCCTACCGTTTTTAGCATAAAATTGGGACTGAAAGCAATTATAAGACTAAAGTGTAGTTCTTAATTGAAATTTAAGCAATCACAAGAACAATTAATATAATGTTTCAACATATGAAAAAAAGTCTAGAAAAGGATTTCTCGTCCTATTGTATGATAAAAATATCATTCATATGCAATTAGGGACGGAGCCAGGGCACTAGATCGGATTGGGCCGGTACAAAAAATATTTGTGAATTTTTTTACATTAAAAATACGGACATTTTTAAAATTTGGGTTGGGTCTGGGCTGGCCCTCCCCTAGCTACGTCCATGTATACAAAAACATGAAATTAGACAAAATACCATTCCTATACAAATATCATATTCAAATTTTTGTAACGATGTGTACTCCCTCGGTTCTGAAAAATTTGGTCAATTTCATTTTTCCTGATCAATGATAATAAATTTTGATCAATGATTTTAATTAGTTTATTTGAAAGCATTTTTTAATTAGTTATTATCGTTGTTCCAATAATTGATCTAGGTGCCCGACTAGTCCCATCTAGGTGCTAGACCGCTAGGTGGTGCTGAGCTTCACGATTTTGGTTTAGCCGTCATGAATAATTGGTTTGGCGCCTAACTAAATTATCAATCTAACAGGGGCGCTTAGTTGCCTGCCAAAAGTGTCTAATTGGCTGTTTATGGTGTCTTCATTTGTCAAACGTTATATTTTACTACCTCCGTCCCATTAGAAGGTTCTCCTCCACTATTCACATAGTCAACATAAATCAATTTTAATCTTTTGCATTTTATATCAAATTTTTATCAAATTTACATTTTTTTTATCAGACTTTGTAGCGGTTTTAATGTTGTTTCTGAATATGTAAATTTTATTTACTAAAAATAATTAGAGTGTGAACATAAATTAACTTGCTTTATCATCAGTCAAGCATCGTAAATCGTAACGTGAACCTTCTAGCGGGACGGAGGGAGTATGTTTTAAGAGATATATACTTTGACTTTAACCACACATATGAGAAAAGTTATTTGTATATTAAGATAAAAATTATATACGGGATATGTTTTATATTTGTGGGAAATTAACACTTATATTTTTATAAAATAAAATTATTTCTCTATTTTAATATAAAAGCCTCTCTTTTTTGTTCAAAAGAAAGAAATAATTCCATTTTCCAAAAAAACAAAGAATAGCTTCATATAATTTTCATACTTTAAATATTTTGGAACTAAAAAAATCATTTGTGAACATAACCAAGTTTTATTAAATAGGGGAGTATAAGATTAGGAATTAATCAAATTAATTATTTAATTTTAGAAAGAAAACACTGGAAAAAAAATTTATATCGTGATGCATACATGGATTTAGAAAAATCTTGTCTAAGTTCATATTATTTGTTCTAAGATTGAAATTTGAAAACTATTAAGTTCTAAGTGGCGTATAGCTTGCCAACTAATGATTACTAATA